GGGGAGGGACTGTCCCTCCCCCATTCCAGCAGAACTCAAGGTGGCACCCAGGCTAGTGGGCCAACAGGCCAAATCTGAACTAAAAGGGCAAGGTCCAGTCTCTGGGGCAAGACCTGGTGGCCCTGTCAAGGTCCCTCTGCACACAGCAAGCAGGAGAGAGGGTCGGGCCAGATGTGTTGGGGCAGTGGTGAGTGCTAGTCACACCAGCCTGGGCACACCCCAGTGAGTGATAAGACACCAGGCCTGGATGCCCCCCAGCTGTGGCCTCACTGACCCGGGACTGACGGCAAGAACACAGTTGGCGGAACCAGACAGCACATGGCAAGGCAGTGGAGGGAAAGCCCGCTCGAAGGTACTGCCTCACGAGCGAGACTGAAAGACTCGAGGCTGGAGAATACAGTGGGCAGGGCACTAGCCGGGCATCAGGTCAATGGGGGTTTGATTCCCTGGCACTTTGTATAGTCCCTGAGCCCACCAGATGTGATCCCTGAGCACAGAGCCAGGAGTAAGCTAAGCCTTGAGCACAGCGAGGTGTGGCACAAAAACAAAACAAAAAAATGTAGGCACACAGTTCAGAGGGTGCAGGGTAGAGCTGGGGCTCCCCTCCAAGGGAAGACTTTCCCTGCTACCCCTCCAGAGGCCGCACCGAGCTACCCAGGAACCAGAAGACCTGAGTCCTGTCGCCTCAAAATTGCCCCCAACTCCTGGGAAACCCCTCTCAGGTGTCCTGTCCCTGCCACACATCTCTCATATGGGCTGAGGGGGGGGGGTTCCCTCTGCTCGAGTCCAAGCACGAAATTAAGAACAGCAAAGAAAGCCCTTGCCAGACGCCCCTGTGAAACAAGGGGAGCCAGAGGAGGAGGGGGCGCAGCAGAGAGGAAAGGGGCCCTTCCCAGGGCTACCTGCAGCTGTCCAATTAGCTCACATCCCTTTGTCTTCTCAAAGACTAACCTACATTTCCAGACAGAAAAGAGGTCACAAATGCAGCCTAAAAAATGTAAGGGGCGGGGCAAGAAGCCCCTGGTCTGACACTGCTTGGTGGAATAGCCCCAGATCCTGTTCTTCAGGCAAGAGGGCAGGGTCTGCAATCCGAGCATGCACACACCAAGGTCCCTGACCTCATATTTATTTCAGGTCCCCTTTCACTCATCTCTCTTTTGGTGGTGCCAGGAACCAAACCTGTAATCTCACACACACACAAGGCAAGAGCTCTAGTGCACAGCTCCGGGCCCAGGGGCTTCCTGACAGCGCAGGCAGGTGTCCTCACCTGACCGCACAAGCGGCCGCCAGCAGCCCCACTTGCCTCCGAAGGCCCCATAGGCAGCCAAGAGCATCCGCGCTCACAGGCCACAGCGCGCTCCATGCGGACGGACTCGGTGACTCGTTCTTCTGGTTCTGCCACACTCCCCACCCCACAACGGTTACAGGAAACCCCGCGAGGAGCCATTGCCCGAGGAGGGCTGCCCACGAGACCTCACCTACTCACCTGTTTCACAACCTTCCTCATTTTCTACAAGGAGCATAAATTAAGTCAATTACCAGGGGGAGCAGTGAGGAGGGAAAGAACAGCAGCCATTCCAAAGGGCCACAAACCTCCGTGCCCACACACTGGCGTGGGGGTGCCCAAGTTCCCAAGCAAGCTGCCAACGATCCCTAACAACTCAGAGGTGCAGCCCTGACATTTCTTGCTGAATGACTGCGTCAAGACCCTGCATCTCCTCTTCATTTTTCCACGAGCAGCCCCGGAAACACCAGAACAGTCAAGTTCCTCAGGAGGAGCATCTTCTGGGCCCGGCCCTAGCAGTCCCAAGGTGTTCATTGCAAGTTGGAGGTACCACCACTGACTAGGGACCCACCCACCTCCCCAAAGTCTTGCCCCCTCACTCAGGTCAAGAACACACTGGCTTCTGAGCTGCTCCCAGGATCTCCGCTCAGGTTTCCCCACGTTTGAGATGACTCAGGTCTTCTCCCAGTAGCCGTGGGGTACACCGAGCAGGGACTCCTTATCCAGTGTGGGGGGGATCCAGCACAAACCCCCCCATACTTGGGGGAGACAATCGATCCACAAGCCCCACTAGCAATGCTAAAAACTCACAAAATAAATGACAGAAAACGAGAGGGGAGCAAGAACAGAGAACTGGAACCTTTAAAATGTTTCACAACTCTCAGTATTTTCCTGAGTTTAAAAAACCACGAAATACATGATGCCAAAAGTAGCTGGATTAAAAACCAATGACAACAACAAAAACTGGAGTTGGTAATATGGTAGAGTGTATGTCTGAAGCCCAGGTTCAATTGGGGGACAGTCTATGCTAACCCTAATCCACAGGTTTTGTTATTAACTTTGGTACAAACCCTTCCATGACTTCAAGTTTTTTTCTCTCTACCAAGAATAGCACTACTTTTTTTTTTTGGTTTGCTCTGTTTTGTTTTTGGGCCACATCTGGCAATGCTCAGGGGACCATAGAGGATGCAGGGATCAAACCCCAGGTCAGTCGTATGCAAGGTAAATGCCCTACCTGCTGCCCCATCTCTCCACCCCTCTTTTTAGTCTTGTTTTTATGAGAGTACCATTTCTCAGGGCAGGAGCCACAGTAGAGAAGGAAAGGTTCTTGCCTTGCACACAGCTGACCCGGGTTTGATCCCCGGCATCCCATGCGCCTGCCACGAGTCCCACTTCAGTGGGAAGCCAGGAGTAACCCGAGTATCTTGGGCTGTAGCCCAAAAACAGATACACCAGAAAGAGGGTCAAACTACAGGCCTATAGGCTCTGGGAATCTCACAATGGCGTGGCACATGCCTAGCATGCCCAAGAGCCTGAGTCTGCTCCCAGGCACCACCAACTGCATAACTTACCAATAAGGCTTCCCCAACAGATAACGATGTTTATAGAAGACGATGCCATCTGACTGGAAACTACAGAACCAAATCAGGAATACAGGGGCCAGCCTATCTGAAGATGAGACCATGCTGCATAATATCAGAATCTTAGGGGAGAAGGGCAGGAGAGACAATGCAGTGGCTAAGGGACTTTACTTGCACGGGTCGACCGGGGTTCAATCCCCAACACTCATATGGTTCCGGAGCATCATCAGGAGTGATTCCTGAGTGCAGAGCCAGGAGTTTGTTGGGGTCTTTATGGGGAGAGGGGGCCCCAGATCTGGTTTACTCCCAGGTCAGTTGTGAGCAAGGCAAGCACCCTACCCACTGTACCATCTCTCCAGTCCCACAGTCAGTAGTAACCCCTAAGCATTGTCAGATGTGGCCCAAAAACCAAGAAAATAAGAACTTTAGAGGAGGAACATTGGGATGTGAGGACTTGCACTCCAAATCACTCTCAAAATTGTCCTTCTAGCTCCTTCCCCTCAAAGTGGCCAATGTTCTTCTAAGAAATCCTTTTTCTGGACTAGAAGCCAAGTAAGTGAATACAGGGGTGGCTCCCTGGAGGACAGAGTGGGCTGGAATGGTGTTCGACAAGGGGCCAGGTCATTCCCAGCTCCAGACGGGTGCACCTGCATTAGCAGAAGGCCTTGTTCTGTGACCACCCAAGAAATGCCCTGCTGTGGACTTACAGTGGATTTGCACAGGCGCATTCCCGGCAGGGTGGACCCAGGGCAGGTGAACTCTGCCTCTCAGGGCCTTGGGGCAGCAGCCTGGTCCCCAGGAGTCTCACCTATAAAGTGGGGGCTGTTTCTTCCTCTCCTTGGTCTGTGTACTGCACCTGGCAGACAGCAGGCACTAACATCTGGGGGCCAGCACCACCTTTTGGTCCTTGGCACAACTTGAGGTCAACCAGCTACACATGCCAGCAGCACCAGCAAATGTTACTTAGGTAATCTAACTTGAAAGAAAACTTGTTACCACAGAAGAGACCACCACACAGGACAGAGAGTCCAGAACTGAAGACAGGGCACAGTGGCTATCTGTCCCTGGGCTGACAGAACCACAGCTACACAGAACCAGAACAGCACTGGGTGCTCCAAGAAAAGCGAAAGAGGGTGAAGAAAAGGAATACTAACACGCCAGTGACTCACCCGGACTTTGAGCTGAGAATCTGAAGCTAAGATAAGGATGAACTCCACACCTAAGTTGTGTGAATGCAAGGCAGAGCAGTTCCTGCAGTCCCAGCCGACGGGAGGAGCACTCGGTTCCTGGGAGGGTCCCATTCATAGCCCGCTCCTAGCGCTGTCAGTCTCCTCGGGGCTGGGGCCCTGCCCATAAGCCTTTCCTTGTTGAAGTGATCAATTCCGATTCTTGGCAATAATCCCTTTAAAAGGCCAGCTGCGGCTGTCTAGTCACTGATGCCGACCCATTCCAGGTGGGAAAAAATAAACCAGTGCGGCGCCGCCTAGATACTGAGGCTGATTTAAACCGCGGGGCCCTGAAAGGGGCCGGAGCCCTGGGGGCAGCGTCCGGTCCCGAGGGTCAGGCGGGAAGGGCGCGGGCCTGGAGGCCGCCGCAGGCGTGGGCGCCAGGGACTCTTATTCTGACACGGAGCCGCCGCCGCCGCCGCCGCGGGGTTCAGCGCCGCCACCCGGGACCCCCGCCCGCCGGGACCGCCCCCCGCCAGGACCCCCTCGTGCCCAAGTGCGCCCCCACGCGCTCACCTACAACCCCACCCACCCGAGACCCCTTTTACCACGCCCGGGTCCCCGCGACCCACGTGCGACCCCCGCCCTGCTCGCCTGGAACCCCCGCCCCGTTCACGTGCGCCCCAGCCCAGCTCGAAAGCCCCACCCGTCCACGTGCGCCCCCACCCGCCCAGGACCCCGACTCCACCCAGTCCGCCTCCCCCACTGGCACAGAGGCCGATCTGCCGCTTCCCGGGACCCCCGCCGCCGCCCCCACGTGCCGGGCGCGGAGCCCAACTTTCCCCGCCGCGCGTGCGGGAGGCGCTCGGGACACGCGCGGGTAAAGTCGCTGCTCCCACTTCCCCGCGCGGGGTCCCGTCACCACCCCCCTCCGCCCCGCCCCGCCCCGCCAAGTTGGTCCGGACTTACCGGGCCGCGCTGGCCCGGCCCTAGAGCGCTGGGCCGGGGTCGTGCGGGGTCGTAAAGGAACTGGGCGGCCAGGGGTCGAGGGGCGCGGGGCCGCGCGCGCTCGCTCCGCCGCTGGGGCCGCCCGGGCCCGCGCCGCTCGCTCCGCCGGTCCGCCCGCCCGCGCCGCCGGCCAGATAATGCGCCCCTCGGCCGCACACATGGAGCCCGGCGCCGGCGTCACCGCCCGGGACATGCGCACCAGGTCAGCGCGCCCGGCCCGCGGCCCCCAAAACACCGGGGAGCTCTTAAAGGCGACGCCGCCCGCCCGTGCGGGCGGGGCCGGCGGGGCGGGGGCGTGGTCTCGGACGGGAAGGCGCGGCCAAGCGGTGGGGGCGGGGCCGGGGCAGGCGGGGTCCGGCAGCCCCGGAAGCACCGCCCCCCACCGCCCGGCTCTCCCGGGATTCCCACGCGCCGGGCGGGCGCCCTGGGCGGGTTGGGGTCGTGCCGGCGCACCAGGCTACGAGGCCCCCCCCGCAGTCCTTCAGCGCCGTGAGCAGAGCTATACCAGACGTAGGTCCGGCCCCCTCGCCCCCTGCAGAGCCCCCCTCCCTCGGGGACTCCGCGATCGCAGATCCGCCTCTCCCCGGCCCGCGGAGGTGCGCGGAAACTAGTCACTGGACAGCCAAAACCGGCGACACTGAAGGGTTGTTCCGAGGTGGAGCAGTGGGGAAAGTCGGAGGCACGAGGACACTCAGGATCAAGAGTAACTAGAAAAGGCCCTTTGCACAGGCTCTGGTCCGCATTCAAACAAGTAATTCGTGATGAGACGCCTAGCCCCAAGAGTGATTTCCAGGGGCCAGGGAGACAGCAAGGGGTTCTTGCCAGGGGTCTATCCATCTCCAGCACCGCATGAGGTCCCTGGAACCCCACCAAGAGTCATCCCTAAGCACCACGGGACGTGTGGCTCACGCATATGTGCCTGGACACACAAAAAGTAGCTTTCCTATTTTCCTAATACGCCCGAATACTTAGTCCCATAACCAAAACAAAAGTTTCAAGTACCACAAGCCAGAGTCAGAGAGACAGTACAGAGATTGGGGGCTTTCCTGGTCAATCCTCCATGCCCCACAGATAGGGCACTCCCCTCCTCCCAGTCTGCCAGGAGTGATTCCTCTTGAGCACCCCCAGGTGTGGTCCAAAGACAATTTAAAAAAATTAAAATTCCAGCACAGTCCATGCACTAGGATGTTTGGTACAGTGTTTCATGTTCCCAAGATCCTAGATCTAGATCCTAGATCCTAGATCTAATGGGGGAGGCAGCCAGGTTTGGTTTTCAGTCCAAATTTAAAAATACAGGGGCTGGAGCAACAGACACTACAGCAGATAGGGCATCTGCCTTGCACACTGCCAACCTGGAACAATCCTCAGCATCCCATATGGTCCCCCAAGCACAAGCACCACCAGGAGTAACCCCTGAGCACTGCAAGCTATGACCCAAAAAGGCTACAACAATTAAAATGCAGTGTGTAACAAGTAAGTCCTGCAAATAAGTTTCTCCAATGAGTTCCAAAACATCTATTTTCTTTGTGTGCTGAGTTGCACCCATAACGGGCAGACTTTTGTCTTTGTCCTTGATTCCACGCCGGAATCCCCTAACATTTTCCAAGGGCTTAATGTAACATCAGGCACAACCTCCTAATCACAAGAGAAACCTTCCTCCAGTCTAGAAGAAACAAAATACAGAGCTGACCACACCTACTTTGCAACTAAGAAATTCAAATGTTCAAAGACAAACAAAAACCCTGGTTCTTACAGGAGGTGAAGGTGAGTGGTGGAGGAGCCAGATAGTGGACTCAAGGGGAGGGCCGAGCTAAGCCAAGCCCTCCAAGGACACTCACTGGGCCATCAGCAGAGCAGTGCATCTGCTGGAAGCTCGGACCACTAGTCAGATGATGTACATTAAAGCCATACAAGCAAGATACTACCTCACGGCTCCTCACCTGGGTCATGATTAATGCCAGCTTAACTACAAACAGCAGAGTGTGGTCAGGTGGGAGACTGAGGGCTTGAGAGAGTGGGGATTCCAGTGTCAAGCCAGCAAGTGCTGTTGAGTCACCAAGGTGACAACCTGTTTTAAAGAGAAGGCATCAGCTGTGACTTACACATCCTATGCACTGGCTACAGGTGGGCTGCTCCAGAAGGCAGTGCCAATGTCAGTAGGTGGCAGGGGAGCAGGAGGGGGCAGCTGTTTCAGGGTTCCTGCCGTGCAGGTAGAGAAGGTCAGGGTATGTGACAGCAGAGGCAGTGCTGGGTCCCCTGAGGTCAGGGCGGCCAATGCTGAGGCTGCCTGGATTTAAAACTATTTCACCTCAGTACCACGAACTGGGCTCAACATCAAATACTTTAGAAAATGATCATACAGTGTTTTGTAATCACCTACAGATGCCATTCAAGTGCTAAGGATGTTCTAATCAAGAGATAACTAGGGGGTTGGGATGTGCTTCAACAGTGAGACACAAGCCTAGTATGTGCTTTGAGGCCCGAGGCTTCAATCCCCAGCTCTGCAGCAGAGTGAAAACCCTCTTCCCTCTGCCCTAAGAGCAGCCAGCCGGAGTTAACAGACACCAGCTGAATCAGCTGATAAACACTCCTGGGGGCCAGAGAGCGGCTTCCCCAGCATGCAGGGTGCCCAGGTTTGATCCTAGCACCACAAAAAGTCCCCAGTAACACAAGAAGTAACATTCACGCACTGGGCCAGGAACTGCCCCCTGAGCACCATCAGGTATGGCCCAGAAATTGCTCCCCCCCAAAAAAATTTAACTGCTTTAGTTAACAAGATTTTCCTCTGAATCCACTTAAAACCTCCTATCTCTGGGCCAGAAAGAGAGCTCAGCTGGAGAAGTGCAACATTTTGCTTCCGGAGGCCCAGCTTCATCCCTGGCGCCACCAGGAGCAACCCCAAGCAATGCCAGGTATGCCCCTCAAAAAACAAAAATAAAACATATAAAAATAAAACTCCACATCCTCCAGAGACCAAGTCCCTGCTAATTAATATTAGTAGTCAACTCTTTCACCCAAACCAATGCAGAAATATTCTAATTATCTTTCAAATGTGCTATTAGATAAACTTCTGACAACCACCTGAGCATGTCTCTGCACATCTAAAGGGAATGAAGGAAAAAAACAAAACAAACCTGGGCCAAAAACAAGTTTGTGTCAACTTTCAACTTTCACAAGAGAAACTCAAAAGTTCCAAGTCCTATAAAACTAACTATACAGGAGCAGCATGACCTACTGAATGTTTCAGGCACTGTACTTTCTGGGGATTTTTGTTTTGTGTTTCTGGTTTGTTACCTAGTGGTGCTCAGGACTTACTCCAGACTCTGTGCTCAGGAGTTACTCCTGGCATTTTAGAGGGGGAGGACATATTTGGTGCCAAGGACTGACCCATGATCAGCAAGATTAGCTTTAGTCTCTCTCCAGGCCCTACTTCCAGATTTTTATTAAGAAAACTTCTTCCAAGTGTGTCTCTTTGACAAAACTAAAGATAACTTACTTGGTAATAATGAAAAATTTTTCTTTCTTTTTGCTGTTTGATTTTTGGGTCACACCAAGAGATGCTCAGGGGTTACTGACTTCTAGTGGTGCTTGGGGGACCATATGGGATGCTGGGAATCAAACCTGGGCTGGCTGCATGCAAGGCAAGCAAGCACCTATCATTAGAGCTCGACAGAAACTCAAGAAGGGGCCACACTCAATTGAGTGAAGGATTTTGCAGGATAAAGAGCCACCCGCGGCATCTGTTCCAGAAATTCACAGGCTGGTAGGCAGAAATACACATATTTCAGTTCAGAAAAATACATCACAGCAAAGACAGGAATCCCAGAGAAAAGGGCAGCTACCTAGACTGGGAAGGGGGCGGGGAAGTCTGCTGATGTGACATCTGAGCCACCTCTCATGGGGGCATCTGAGGCAACCAGAGACAGGCATTGGTAATGCACAGAACAGCTGAGACCAGGAGAGGGGTATGGGTTTGGGCAGAAAGAGTTGAGAAGAGATGAATTCATTATCTTTCAAACTTTCTAGATGCCTCTCTCTCTCAGAACACGGGGAGCCAGGGAGGAGTCCAATGGGCTGAGTTCATGTTTTAGCATCCGTATGCCTGGGTTCAATCCCTACACCACATGGCCCCTGATTACAAGGCAACTGGTTGGAAAAGGAAAAGAAAAAATTAATTTTGGAGGATTGGAGAGAGTATGGATTACAGCAGGTAGGGAGATTCACTTGCATGCAGTTGACCCGGGTTTGATCTCTGACACCACATATGGTCCCAAAGCACACCAAGAGTGTGAGCCTGAGCACAGAGCCAGAAGTAATATATAAAAAGGGAAAATATCAGAAAACTAATGTGGGGGGGGAGGGGAAGCTACCTGATAATCTCAACCTATTCAAAATACTTAGTAAAGGCTATTAGTCACATCTCAGTCTGCTAATAAACACCTTTGGTTTGGACATAAAAGCAAATCTAGATTCCGGGAGACAGTTCAAGTGGCTAAACACATGCAAACTCCTGGGTCAGATCCCCCCCCACTGTTTGAGTTCCTAAGTGTATCCCTGGGCATCCAAGGCCCACTTGGGGTAGTTTCTACAAAAACTTTATAAAAACTTGGAATCCAGGGGGCCAGGGCAATAGTACGACAGGTAGGGCGATTACCTTGCACATGGCTGACCTGGATTCGATCCCGGTACTCCATATGGTCCCTCAACCCCCACCAGGAGTAATCCCAGAGTACAGAGCCTGGTGTGCCCCACCCCATCACCCAGGGGGAAGGAGGGGGAACTTTAGCATCCGGGACACATCATAGTCTCCAGTTTGCAAACAACAAATCTTTAACTTGCCATGTTCTAAAGAGGAAAAACTCTTTTCCCCAGAAAGGATGAGTACTCCCTCCTCCAGTAAGAGCCCAGCATTTCTCTACAGACAATAAAAGCAGCAAGTCTTTCTCCTTTTCTCCTTCATAATTTGGTTAGAAATGACCAAGCCTCTTGCCTGATGACCTAGTCTACAATTAACCAATTCTAACCTTCAATAAAGATAGAATGAGGAGGAGGAAAGCCTAAGGCCTGAATACAATGCAAATTTAAGAACTGTTCTGCCGGGGACCAGAGAGAGTATAACAGCTAAGTCTCCAGCCACACACAAGGGGCTGACCTAGGTTCAACCTCCAGCACCCCATTTGGTCCCCAGAGCTCCGCCAGGAGTGATGCCTGAGCTCAGCATC